GATGATTTGAAGATTAGCAGCTAATGTTTGCTTCATTGAACGCCAAGATATAGTTGTGCCTCCATATGTAAATAAAAAGCCTGTCTGAGATCGAGCTTTATGTGGATCAGACAAATATCCAGCATCTGCATAACCAATCATTTCTGACTTGGATTTATTAGAATAAAATAATCTCATATCAATGGTTCCCTGAAGATATCTTAATATATGTTTGACACCATTCCAATGTCTCTTTGTTGGGGATGAGCTGAATCTTGCCAATAAACCTACTGCAAAACAGATATCTGGTCGAGTATTATTAGCAAGATACATAAGCACCTCAATAGCACTAAGATATGGAGTTTCATTGCCAAGAAGCTCTTCATCATTTTCTTGAGGTCGAAATGGATCTTTATGTATGTCAAGCGATCTCACAACCATCGGGGTACTCAATGGATGTGATTTATCCATGTAAAATCGCTTTAAAACCTTTTCTGTGTATGTTGATTGATGGACAAAAATTCCATTTTTCAAATGCTCAATCTGTAGGCCAAGACAAAATTTTATCTTACCACGATCTTTCATTTCAAATTCTTTCGTTAAACACTCAACAACTTTTGAAAGCTCTTTAGGAGTGCCAATGATATTTAAATCATCAACATACACAACTATTATAACAAAATCGTTAAACACTCAACAACTTTTGAAAACTCTTTAGGAGTGCCAATGATATTTAAATCATCAACATACACAGCTATTATAACAAAATCAGATCCAGACCTAATAGGGTCATTTTTGTACCCTTCCTTTAGCAAAAATTGGCTAAGACGATTGTACCACATTCGCCCTGATTGTTTCAATCCATATAAGGATTTCTGAAGCCTTATCGAACAATTTTCTTGCGAATTTTTATATGCTTCAGGCACATTGTATGCTTCGGGAACTTTTATGAAAATATCGTGGTCTAATGAGCCATATAAATAGGCTGTGACAACATCCATTAGACGCATTTCAAGCTTTTCATGAACTGCCAGATTTATTAGATACCTAAAGGTTATTGCATCCACCACATGAGAATATGTCTCCACATAATCAATGTCAGGTCTTTGCGAAAAACCTTGTGCCACAAGTCGTGCTTTATATCTTACGACTTCACATTTTTCATTTTGTTTTCGCACAAAAACCCATTTATACCCCACTGGCTTGACACCTTCAGGTGTACAGACTATTGGTCCAAAAACTTCACGTTTTTCAAGTGAAGTCAATTCTGCTTGAATTGCGTCTTTCCATTTTGGCCAATCATTTCTCTGTCTGCATTCATTGACAGATTTTGGTTCAACATCCTCACCTTGTTGCATTATTTCAACAACAACATTATAAGCAAAAATATTGTCTACCACAATATTATTTCGATTCCACCTTTTTCTCGTCGAGACATAACTTATTGAGATTTCTTCATTCTCATTATTTTCAGTTATTTGGACCTTCTTTGTGGTCTTATCATTTGTTATATCTGGGAGCTCTTCTTGAGCAATTTCCTCCATGGTATGATCTTCATGATCATTTGCTCCTTTTCTTTTTCGAGGATTTTAATCCTTTGAACCAATTGTCCTACCACATTTTAAACGTGATTTTGACTCATTTGCTTTAACAATTTGTCCTACCGGGACATCAACTCGGACTGGAGCATTTGCTGCTGGAATATAAGATTTAGTAACCCTTGGAAGGTTAGTAAATGCATCTGGCAGTTGATTTGCAACATTTTGCAAATAAATTATCTTTTTAACCTCTTGCTCGCATTGATTTGTTCAAGGATCCAATTGAGATAGAGACAATGAATTCCAATCTATCTCTTTTTCCAACTGCTTATGTTCTCCCCCTAATGTTGGGTATACTGATTTATCAAAATGACAATCAACAAACCTTGTCGTAAATATATCTCCTGTCATAGGTTCCAAATATTTGATGATAGAAGGTTGATAATAGAAGGAGATTCATACCCAACATACACCCCTATCCTTCTTTGGGGACCCATCTTTGTGCGTAGCAGTGGGGCAATTGGAACGTATACCGCGCACCTAAAAATTCTAAGATGGGAAATATTTGGCTCATGACCAAAAACCAACTGTAATTGAGAGAATTCATGATAACTAGTTGGCCTTATGCGCACCAATGCTGCTGCATGCAAATAGCATGCCCCCATATTGAAACATGTAAGTTTGTCCTCATTAACAATGGTCTAGCTATCAATTGGAGGCGCTTAATCAAAGATTCTGCTAGACCATTTTGAGTGTGAACATGAGCAACTGGATGTTCAATTGTTATCCCAGTGGACAAATAATAATCATTAAAGGACTGCGATGTAAACTCACCAGCATTATCAAGATGAATTGTCTTTATTGCATAATCTGAAAATTGTGCTCTTAATCTTATTATTTGAGCCAACAACCTCGCAAAAGCCATATTGCGAGTTGATAATAAGCACACATGTGACCATCTTGTAGATACATCTATCAAGACCATATAATATTTAAATGGCCCACATGAAGGGTGAATTGGCCCACATATATCACCCTGTATACGTTCCAGAAATGCAGGGGATTCAATCCCAACCTTAGTTGTTGATGGTTTAATAGCCAACTTTCCTTGAAAACAAGCAGCACAAGAGAATTTCTTTGATTGAAGAATTTTTTGATTCTTCAAAGTATGCCCATGTGAATTCTCAATAATTTTGCGCATCATATTATAACTGGGATGGCCCAACCGGTCATGCCAAATGATAAAATCATTAGGATTAGTAAACCCTTTGTTTACTATGGCATGTGATTCAACCATACTAATACTTGTATGGTACAATCCAGAAGAAAATGCGGATAATTTTTCATGCACATATTTTTGCCCCAATTTTACTGTAGTAATATAAAGGTATTCAACCTTTCCTTCATTCGCAGTCTCAACATGGTAGCCATTTTGGTGAATAACCTTGAAACTTAATAAGTTTCTTTGAGACTTACTACAGTACAACACATTTTTTAATATTTAATATCGTTCCCCCAGGTAGTAGTAAGGCCGCTCTTCCAGAGCCCTCAATTAATTTTGCACTACCAGATATTGTATTAACATAAGCCTTTTTCATAATCAAATTAGAGAAATATTTCCTTTCTCTTAAAATAGTGTGCGTTGTAGCACTGTCAAGAAGACACATATCTCCATTACTCATTTTGAACCCCCGAGCATTAGAAGAAGATGCACCATTTTTATTTCCTTTTCTTTTCAAGGAATCTTGATAAAGCCTTACAAAATGCTTAGCTACTCGACATTCATTCTTTCAATGCCCTTTCATGCCACAACGATGACAATTGCCTCTTGAAGGATTGCTTTGAGAACCCATATTGTTCTCCCTTTTGTGGCTACCACCACCACGACGATTATTATATCGTCCTCTACCATTGCCACGTCCACGCACATTATTTTGGCCCTGATTTTTATTTTGTCTTCTTTCAGACTGACCATGTGCTTCAACCTCATTTGCTTCCGGCAACGGAGCAGTTCCCGTGGGACGGGCCTCATGATTTTTCAATAAAAGAGTATTATGTTGCTCAGCCACAAGAAGGCATGAGATCAACTCAGAATACTTTTTGAATCCCCTTTCACGGTATTGTTGCTGTAATACCAAATTTGAAGCATGAAAAGTTGTGAGAGTCTTTTCCAACATGTCCTCATCTTTTATATCTTCCCCACATAATTTCAATTGGGAAGTAATTTTGTATACAACAGAATTATATTCACATATAGTTTTAAAATCTTGTAACCGCAAGTGAATCCATTCATAACGAGCCCTTGGCAAATACCGTTGCCTTAAGGTGGTCATACCTTTCTTCAAACCAGTCCACAATTCAAGTGGATCTTTCACCGTAAGGTATTCAACCTTCAATCCTTCATCCAGATGATGACAAAGGAAATCATTGCCTTTGCTTTGTCCTGACTCGACGCTGTATTACCATTGGTAATAGTGGCACCAAGACCTTTAGCGTCAAGGTGAATTTCAGCATCGAGTACCCATGACAAGTAATTATTTTCAGAAATGTCAAGTGCCACGAACTCAAACTTTGATAAATTCGACATGAATAAAACTATCATAGAAAATAATTAAATTAGAGTAAAATAGACAATCAGTAAATAATTAAGTAGCAAAACTTTTTTTTTCATCAAAGTAAAATTAACATACAATCTAAATTAATATTCTGCCTCACAAATAACAAAAATAACTTTTAGTAAAATTGTTAGATAAAGTCTTTTCATTAAAAATTAATCAATAGTACAGATAATTCACTTTTTCCATTGAGAACAGAAAACACTCGAATTTGTAGTCCATTCATTTATTTTTTCACAAAACAATGACCTTCATCTTCTCTTCGCAAAATCGATAAATGGTTAGCCTTTTATTTATTTATTATTCAATTATAAATAACATGGAAAGTATAAAAAGTATAGCCACAATTTAATAATTTTAACATTAGATTATAAATGGATACCTCACAAGAAATGTTCAACCTTGAGACTTCGTGTTGATAACGTGTTGTAAAACTTAAGAACAAAAGAACAATATAAAGAGGAAGAGAAGAAGACTATAAGACAAGAGAAACAATATAAGATCACTTTCTTTCTTTCAAGTGTCATCAACATTATTCTCAACACCACTATTTATAGGATTACATTGAGGAATACCAAAGGGTGTCATAAACATTACATTAAACCTTGAGAATTACTACCCATTAAGGAGGAAATAAACCTAGGAGTTATGGTCATCCAATTAACTATATTATCAACAACATTACTACCAATAAAGGATGAAATTAACCTAGGAGTTATGGTCATCCATTTGACCACATTATCAACAACATTACTACTCATAAAGGAGGGAAATTAACCAAGGAGTTATGGTCATCCATTTAACCACCAAAATTATTTACAACAAAATTATAGTACTTAACTTTTAATTATCTTTCTACTTTATTCCTTCCGTCGTCATTTGTAATGTCAAAATTTAATGTTTTTAAAAAAAAATAAAATTTAAAGGATATTTTAGTAATTTTAATAGAAATATTACTATCGACATTTTTAACCAAACATACTACTATTACATTTTTGTTTGTTTAATCAACTAATCCAAATGAATTCCAAGAAACTAATCCAATAACATAAGTTTATTTGTGTGTTTATGTCACACCATTGTCATTTCCCTTTCACCAAAGTGTTTAATTTATTTATTTATCAAAGATAATAACATTTTTTCATTATTATATGGCGCAAGTTGAGTAGGCGTTTCTATTATGCAATAGACATTCCCCTCGTAAGAGTATAAAATTGGCAAAATTTCAAAATAAAGACGTAGTTTGATAAACAACTTTGTCTCCGTAATTAGTTGGCACGTGTAATCTTTAAATCTTTTTGTTTTAATTATATTTATTTCATCATTATAGAAGCAACCCAAACAAAATATTTTGATTATCATAAATTATGACGTATGCTCAACCACTTTAAGTTGAATTTATGTGAATTTTATCTCAACTACAGTAGAACTCACCAACTTAGACATGATTACATATATTTATGACATAACTAAATATATATAGTCAAGTATTGTTTGATTCACGAAATAAAGTGAAACATTTCAAAATTACGTCTAAAATTATACTTATATTTTATATATTTAAAAAATAATGAATTCAAAAATAAATTTATATCTCAAATTTAACATTATATTTATTGTGATTATAGTTCTGAAGTTATAATCCTAAAATTATTAAGATTATATTTTAGAATTATAATTTCAATATAACAATTATAACTTCAAAACTATAATTTCAATATAAATTCTTCTCACAAATCAAACGATCCGGCCTATATATGTTTAAATAATTTTTTACAAAAATATGCCTAGAGTCCATAATTTCATTGATGGCTTAGAATATAAAAATTAAATATATATGATGCCATCAATCATAGTTTAGATACAGCAATTATTCATGTATTTTGTGAGAGTGAATAAAAAAAAAAGTTACAAATAATAAAGTTGACCATTATGAAACACGCGCAATATCAATTCATTTTAATTACGTGTATTAACATTCTTTCCTAGTTCCTATACATTATGCAAACTTTAATTTGTGATGAACTTTTTCTTATTCTTTATAACTTTTTGCATAATTTTTGGAATTTAAGTTATTTGCAATAAAATTTGTATTAAAAAAATAATCAAGATAGAAAAATATTACATTAATCATAGTATTTGATTTCTGCATAGTGAATGTACAATCCTTATGAATATTCTTTGATTCTTCTTTTCAAAAATATATGTTCAAGTGTTTTTTAACTTAGATTTTAAATTTTGTGGACTTGATAGGTCTTTTTATTTTAATTTATTATATAACATTTTTTTCTTTTTTTAATAGTCAGTTTAAAAAAGAATTACACATATTTCTAAATTTAGTAGGTAGTAATAATTTAAGTTTAAACTTTTCATTTTACATTTAAATAAAATGATTTATAATCACATAAATATTTAAAATTTATTTAAATCACAAAATTTAAAAATTTATGTAAATATAAATTGAGACGAAATGAATTAAATGTTTACAAATTACACTATTGGGTAAGTTAACTACAATAATTCCAACTCTTCCGATCCTATGAAACCTAATATTATTATCCAAAAATAGAGTGAGAATATTCTATAGTCTATCAAATTAATTACACTAGCATGGTGTGTTGAATATTCTCTTTATTGTCGGTACCTATAACTTTATTTTATGATTTGCTTTATGAATTTAAATTCATATTTAATATTATAACATTTAAATTGTTACATCAACTAACATATATATTTTCATGTTACTGATATCTTTTAGTTGTGATTAATAAATCTTTTATAAGTGGCATGGTTGTATATACTCCCTCCATCTTAATTTAATTATATTAATTATATGCATGTGAAGCACTTTAATTGGATATAATTATTAAAACAAGTTATAAACTATTATTTTTTAAAGTAAAATTAAATATTTTTAAATATTAATAATATTTCTATCTTTTTTAAAAAAAATACATCACATAAATTATAACTAACTATTGAAGGATGAAATCATGAAATCAAAATTAATTGATGCAAATAGAATAAGACAGGTAACCGACCGGTTGTGAGTTGTGACCTAATTATTATAATTTATAATTGACACTTTAAATACTCACTTATGTGGAAAAAAATGTTAGGCTGGTCTGCTATTTTAAAAAAGAAACATGTGGTAATTTTTGGTAGGTAAGGACCAAGGATGGCTACTATACAATTTACATTCTTTCTTTACTCACTAATCGAGTTTTATATTTGTATTGAAATTTGATAAGATTCATTTTTAAGATCACGTTCTAAACAACCTTTCTTCCATTCCTATTGAAGAATTTAAATACAAAATTTTAAATTAAAAAAAGAATTTCAAACTGAATTATCTTATCACAATTCATATTTGATCACCTTTTACTTTTAAATGCTTTTTTTTTCCTTTTTAACTTTTTTGATTTAGAAGATCCCACATGCCTCATTTTTCTCTTCTATTTTCCACATAGCAACTTCCAAATTAGATGTCAATAAAGATGTCAAGGAATTGGAAGCGACCATGTGTTTCTTCCTTTAATTAATTTTCTTCACCTATAAGTTTACTAAATTGATGAGTATATTTAGTTAGATGTTAATTCCAATTTAAGAAGTTAAGGTCATGCATGCACGTGTTGCATACCATTTTCTTCTTGGTATACGTGGGAGAACCTTAATTTTAAGAGTAGTTTGGTAGATTGTATACTTCGATCACTACTAAAAAAGCAAAAAAAATAGTAACAAACAATTTATCATTAATTCTATTTTCAATTATATAAATTTTTGAGTAATTTAATATAATATTTTTAAAAATGTGAATAATTAACGTGAGATAATGAAGTAATAAGTAAGTGATTCAAGATTTCAAATTAGGTCAATGCATTATTGTTGTGTAGTAGACTAGTAGTATCCAAATTAGGTCCACCAAAAGTTTAATTGATTATCCAAATCTTTGGTTCATAAAAAGCAGAATCATTGAATCTTTCAGGAAAAAAAAATGATAAATTGATACTTAGTACTTTTCCAAGGTCATATTATATGATATTTTTAGTTTTTTATATTTTATTTAAAATAAATAGTTTTTTATATAATTAAAAAATAGTTCTTTCTTTGAAATTAATAATTTAGATAAAATACAATTTTATATATAATAAAAAATTATATTAAATAGACGTTATTTAATTAAGAGTAATATATATATATACCTTACTTTTTAAGGATATATAAGTGAATTTCTTAAAGATTATGTTCAAGAAAAAAGCATACTTCATTGGTTTAAAAAGAATGACCTCCTTTTATTTTTAGTTTGTTAAAAATGAACGATTTTTTTCTTTTTTTTGGAATATTTTAATTTCAGCTCTCCACATAGCATATTTAAGGCCATAAGATTAATAAATATTTTGATACATTTGACACAATTTTAATTTAGGACCAAAAGTATTTCTTATTTTTTCTAAACGTCGTATCAAATTAAACTAGGTCATTTTTTTAAATGGAGTATAATATAATATGAATTTGAGGGAGCCGTACGTAGTTATATAAAAAGGAATGTCGGCAACATCTCATAATTACATCAATCGACATAGCTTCCAAAAATAGTTCCAAGTGTAATTCTGGAAAATATTACTATTAAATTTTGACTTGTAAATACAAGATTTGAAAAATAGAGAATTAAATTCCAAGAAAATTGTGTTCTAATCATCATTTTTTTAAAAAAGAATCGTGTGTTTTCTTGTGATGACTGTTGTTGAGACGATTTATTATATTGGAAGGTATACACTTAAAAAGTTATATCCATCAATAACATGTTAATATAATTTTTAATCAAAAAATATTTACTTCTGATTAATATATTTTGTTCAAAGAAGAAGAATTCGTTGAAGATTCAAACAAATATAAGAGACATAATATTGTATGATGAAAATTATGAGAAAAAAATATAATCAATTAAGATTATTTCCACGATTTGTGCTCC